GCCCGGCTATTTTTTGGTTGCAGCCATCATTGTTGTTTGGCGGGCCGGGCCGGATTTGAACCCGCCACCTTAGGTGTATGTGGCTGGCACCTTAGCCACTTGAGCTACAGGCGCCAAGCCTACTGTCCTTTTTAGATGCTCTATTTTGCAGTCATCATATTTCTGGACCATCACCTAACAACTAGTTGCCTTTCCTCTTTTGAAATCTTTGATGTGTGTGTGTATTGGAGTTCCCCAAACTTGGGTGTCTAGCAGATCTACCTGAGAATCTATTAAAATGCAGATTCCTGGGCCCCACCCAATTTGGAATGTCTAGGATGGGGCCTGAGATTGAGTTTGCAACTCCTACCTTAGAGTCTGCTCCCAGGTTCCTGTGCCTAGTGGGTGCTTTGTGGGTCCAGTAATGTCTGTTTCAACTTCTGGGCTTTGAGTCTATCAACATCTCTGTTTCCGTCTCTCTGCAGGCTGTCACTCAGGATGGTCTCTTCTGCTGCCAGCAACTCAAAACAGTCCCAGCAGCACTCCCTATCCATCCTCTGCCCCCAGGCTTCAACTAAATGTGTTCTCCCCCTTTCCAACATGGTCTCACTCAAGGCCTGGACTTCTCCAAAACTTGCCCTGGTCTCCAGCTCTCCTTAAACCACTCAAGACCCTGGGCTCACTTTTGGATCAGAAATAAACTCTTTATTTTTGCAGTTGTTGGCTCTGGCTGTTTCTGGGGGTTGGTCTGAGAGCCCCAGGGCTTTGGAGGAGCCAACGCAGCAGTCACTCCTCCACCATACCCCAGGGCCCTGTTGCTGTCTCTAGGAAGAGCAAAGGCACCAGACAATCCACCTGGCACCACATTCACACCACCATGGGCTCCAGGGATGAGGGAGAAACCTTAATGAGTCACTGTGGGCCTGTTATACCCCTTTCTCCCTCACACCCCAGGCCACATCCACACAGAGTTCTGTTTCAGGCCTAGCTCCTTGGAAAGGTGGGTCCAGGGGATTCCCCATTCTTTCTACCTACGCTATTGTTGCAGGGCTAAGTACTACAGGGGCTGGGGAGGAGCTTGTCCTAGCCAAGAACCTCCTAGGAAGGTTCCTCTGCCTTCCCGGGTCCTCTCTTTCCTCTTACCTTTCATTTCTCTGATGATCAATGCTAGGGGAAGAGGAGGTTATGGATGTTTTAAGAAAGAAGGTAACCTGGTGACCAGATGGAATTAGATGTGAGTACAGTTTTGCGGCAGGTTGTCCAGACAGGTCATTTCTCAGCTCAAGACTCCAAAGCTTGATTTGTGTTGACCAGAGTCATAAGCACAATGGCCCCATCTGTCTCTGGGGTTAGCTTTGATTATATACAGGTTCTGAGTAGTATCCGTGGGGGAGGGGAGGAGATGCAAAAGAGAGGAGCTACTGGCCTGTGTTGGGAGACGGGTGGGTAGAAGAGGCTCTAATTCACACTGAAGAGAGCAGAAGAAACAGAAATAGTCCTGATCCAGATAGGGTGGGGGTGGGGGTCTAGTCTATATTTATGGTTGAGAAAGGCTGAGGCAGAGGTTGTCCAGTTCTGAATTTGGCACCAGACATAAGAGCTGACTCTGGTTGGGAGGAGTGGCCAGCAGAGACATAAAAGGTCCTGGTGTGTTTAGGGGCCCTGAGGCAAAGCAGGAGGCGGGCATCCGGATCACAGATGCTCCCAGCATTTGGGCTCACAGAGACAGGGGCTTCTCCTGGCTGGCTAGTGAATACACAGGACTGGTCCACGCGGCCTCCTGGGCATATTCATTCACACCATGTTTTTCCTTTCCTAATTCTCCGCACAGAGTTCTCTGCCTTTTTCTAACTCTCCACCACCCGCCTCTCCTCGGGGCACCTGGCACCCATGGTAACGCGTTTGGCAGTCTTGGCCTTAAAAAGTTCCGACATGACTCCGCCTTGCCGGCAATCGGCTCCACCCTAAGCCCAAGTCCCAGGCAGCCGTCGGCTCCTCCCAGCACTGCCGACTACAAGTCCCGCCGTGCCTTGCGTGAGCCCTCCCTTCTCTCCCGCGTCCCTCGGGCGCCTCTTGCGCGGTCGACAGAGAGTGCCTCCCATTGGTCTCTCCGCTCTGTCAGTCACCTCGGAGTATAGAGGGGCGGGGAGAAGGTGGAAATCCGGATCCGGAGCAGCTGAAAGGCGGAAGTGGAGGCCGGAGCCTGGGACACGGCCGGGGGGAAGAAAAGCGGAGCCAGTCCAAGACCCGGCCCCAAGTAACGCCGCCGCCCCAGAGCCGCCGTGAGTATGCCTGTCTCAGGACTTGGTGTCTCGCCTGCCTTGAAACCTCTCCAAGGCAGCCCTTCCTTCCGCCCAACCCCAGCTTAGGGGGTACTGGCCCCTCCCCCGATCCGTAGCCCCCTCTTAAGGGGTTTCCCAGGCGTCGGACCAAAATGGGGGGCTTCTTTCCTTCGTTTACTTGCCTTTCATGAGCTTTGGGGAAACTCCAGGGCTCTCCTCTGGCCTGTCCAGCCCACTTGTGGGAGAGAGGGACACTAAGGTCCGCTCCCCCTGCTCTCAGAATTGTAGGATCTTTGCCAGGGTGTGAAGAAACCTGCTCCCCTTCTCCTTTAGAGGTGGCAGTGAGTGCTGTCTGTCGCCGTTTTTCTTCTCCGGTCCCTCAAAACAAGTGTCCCCTCCAGCTTTAGAGGAATATCTTGATTTCCTCTGGGGGCGGGGTGGTCTGGGTAAGACCGTTCCACACGCACTAAAGTGTGTTTGCGCTTCCACAACTCCTTACTTCCTCTCTGTATTCGAGCCAGAGAGCCAACCAGGACCTCAGCAGAGTTTGAAGTCTGGTTCACTTACTAGGAATGAACTGTCTTCTTGTCTTGCCCCCTTCACCCCATAGTCCTCTAAGTTATGTTTTTCTCTGAGTGTGTATCTCTTCCTGCATCTGAAGAATTTAGCTGAGATTTGCTCAATCCTGGCTACAGATCTTAGATCAGGTTGGATCTGCCCATTCATTATCTTCTCTCTCTCCTCCTCCTCCCTCCTTGCTCCAGGCTCAGCTCTGTCCTCCTAGAGCACGTGAGTGGTTCCAAGCTGCCTTAGAGGGAGTGCTCCTCCT